GAAGAAACAGTCTTCTAAGTGGCACAGCACTCTTCTGTCAATTCGCTGTACTGACTCAACCTGAGGTTGCTGTGATACTGATCTTTGTGCCATTGGGATGTCAAATGCCATAACAGTTTCACATGGTCGACAGTGTTGGTGGAGCTCCCAGTTTAAGACAAGTTTGGAAGCAGAAATGGCATCCACTTCCTAAACCACATGCCTCTGGAAACTCTATGCACTTTGAGAAATGACAGTAGTCATAGAAAGGCTTTAGGTATTTTATTCATCGGGTTGTTATGAATTGTGCTTGACCTGAAGGCATCAACAATTATGTGTGTGAGTGTATGTGCATGCACATCTATGTGTAAAAACATGCATTTATATTTGTTTGATATATAAAAACAAATATATATAAACACTGAAAAATGATCAAAGAACTATTTAAAATAAGTATATTTAATCTCCTATTTAAGATATCAAGGATTATAGGTTTACTTCTAAAATATGATGACTGTCATTTACTTACTTGTGAAAGAGCCTAAATTTACAAGAGCACTGTGTTCTGAAACCATTTATTAAAAAAATAGAAAAATGGTATATTTTTCACTCTAACAAGCCAAAAATCCCATGGCTGTCAAGTTGATCCTAATTCCTAACGAATATATATATATATGTATCACACACACACACACACATACACACACACTCATATATATATATGCATACACACATATATATGCATACACACACTCATATATATATGCATACACACATATATATGCATACACACACTCATATATATATGCATACACACATATATATATGCGTACACACACTCATATATATATGCATACACACACATATACATATACATACATACACTCTCATATATATATGCATACACACACATACATATATATATGAGTTGAGCTTCCCAATAAAGTCTCAAAGCCAATAAATATTTTTTGGAAGCAGACTGCCTCATCTTTTTCCTGGAGAGTAGTCAGTGGATTCACCCCATCAGACTTCTCTGATAACAGTGTAACATGTAATCCACTTCTCCATAGGCTCCTTCTTTAAATTTAATAGATGAGGGAATCCTTTTGATGTGAAAATATAAACTTTTAGCTTAAAAAATTATTGAAAATTATACAATTGTCTATACATACCTTTATGAAAAGAGTAAAATGTAATATTTTATTAAACACTTTTTAAATATAGGTCTTAGTCATTAATTCAATCACCAATGTCTTACACTCCTATTATATTTGATATTGTGTCTCATCCTGAAGACATGAAGATGAGTAAAGCAGGTTTCATGTCATAAGATTAAGGTCCTAAGGAAATTGGGACAGATAACTGTCTATTTTCTTATGCATATAACTACTGTTGTGTGCTGTCAAGTTAGAACTGACTTATAGCTGACATTCCAGTGGGTTTTTTAAGGCAGTAAATTATATGGGAGATGATGGCCATTTTTCCTCCATGGAGCAGGTTGTGGATTCGAACTGCCTACCATTGGGTTGGCAGTACAAGTCCTTAATCAGTAAGCCATAATTGGTTTCTAAAAATAACACATACACACACACACACACACACAGAGTCTTTATTTAGGAAACTGTGGGGCAGCAGTTCTACTCTGATACATGGAATTTCTATTAGTTGGAATTGGCTCCACAGCAAACTATCTCTCCTTCCTCTATTGTAATTTTTCAAGACTTCTCACTTTTCTGGTTTTGTTATCATTTACATGCCAAAAACCTTTTAGTTAAGATCCCTTTGCCTCTCCTCCCTGAAACTGAGCTCATCTATTTGCTTCACTGCCAGTTTCTAAAGCCACACATCACATTGGATTCAAGACGTCATTCATTCTTATCCAGGGTCACCTAAGTGCTCCCTTGTCCATATTCAACACATCTCAACCACTTACTCTCTGATGAATCAAACCAATACCCATTCTCCTGTTCTCACATTGTAAGAGTCCGTGTGGTACCCTTCCTTTCAATTCCAAATGTGTCCTGACTAATGCACCACACCCTCCAGGAATTAACTTCCAATGCCAATTACATCTTGAATGAAGAACTTTCTAACTCCATGCTATCTTCTTCAGGATGAATCTCTCCTTTCTTGAAATACTGCTTCTTTAATATTTAATTAAAATGCCAAACTTTTACACTGTTCAGGACATACTCTGCAGTCCTTCACCAACCCCTATCCCCAAAGCCATGAAGGAGACATACAATATGATAACAAGTGTCTTATGTGTCACTTGCATGTAAGAAGAGTTTTTCTTCTTACTAGTAAGAAATTTGGAGAGCTTCTGTAATATTTAGATCTAGTTCTGAGTGTGCCTTATGTTTGTCCACTAACATCCCCTTTATGCCTTTCTTCTTCCCAGGATGTGACAGTCCCTCACAAGACTGTTTCGCTTCATCCTTTATATCAGACCAAACTCTATCCTCCTGCTAAGTCCCTGCTGCATCCACAGACTCTCTCCCATGCTGACTGTCTTACCCCAGGACCATTCAGTCATGTGTCCTCCTTCTTACTGAGCGATGAACAGGAGAATTCTCATACCTTGTTCAGTCACAATGCATATAATAAGGTGAGAATTCTCTGCTGAAATGGCAATGATTCTGTGCTGTGAATCTTCCTTGTGCTTAATTGTAAAACTTAAGTGTAGAGGTTATAGATATTAATAATAACTGAATTTCTTTTAAAATACATCGGCATCTTAGATGATAACATGGTAATTTAAGTTGGTGATTAATAGCAATTTTTTTCTTTTCAAAATCATTTCATTACTTATATTCTTCATTGTTTCATATTCTAATCGCAAATGGGAAAACTCAAGAAATTTTCTAGGTGTCTGCAATATGCCATCATTCATTAAAGTTCTAGTTTTAATTTTAATCTACTTTAATTTTCTTTAAATGTTTCTCTAAATAACAATTTAAATTCAGCATCTATTTATAATATCATTATAATCTTATTTTAAAATATACAATATATCTAGTAAAGGAAGTGCTAAAACAAAGAGTATTCAGCACCTGAAATAAAGAATAAACAAAACTGAAGGAAAGTTATTTATGGTTGGCTTTGGAATATAATCGTAAATGTTCTAGTAGAAGCAAATTTTCAGTATCAAATTTCACATTCTTCATGTTAGTCCCCTTTGCTTCTCTGATCATTACGTAACATCAGGAAATCTTGGCTGCTTTAAACTCTCCAATTATGAAAATTTCCTTAAAGAATTGACTGGTAAAACTCACTGACTAGTTCAAACTTTTGATTGAAATGTAGATCTTTCTTAAAAAACACAAAAACCAAAACCAAAACAAAACAAAAGCCCACAATTGAACATTTGCTTTGCAAATTTTTTATGTATAATGAGGTACACTTATGCTTAGATGTCACTCAAGGCTATATGGCTCAGAATGTGACAGAACATTGTTTCTGAGACTCTAAATGTTCTTTAAAAAAAATCATAAAACAGCTAAACTCAATTAGCTAGAGATTAGCCACTGCTGATGAGTCTATTCTGTAACTCAATAACAACTCTTTTTTGGGGTTTTTGAGGCCGTACGCACCTTTCTTCTTTGGAGTAGACAAATTTCAAATTTTCTTTAGAAACTGAACACCAGCATATAAGAAAGAATTAACTTTAAATATTTAATAAAATCTATCATGAATAAAGAGAGCTTTGGTGGCTTAGTAGTAAGGAATTGTGTTGCCAGCACAAAGGTACATGGTTCATATCCACCAGCTGCTCCACAGGAGAAAGATGGACAATCTTCCCTCAAGTGGTTTACTGCCTCTGAAAATCCCATTAAAGGTTCAGCTAGGAGTGACTTCCAACTTGTTAGCACACACAACCAAACAACATTATGGTTGGATGGTGTTGTTTTTGTGTCTAGAAATTAAGCAACTCTTGCAATAAAAATGCTTTAGGACAAGGTTCAGGATGACATTATTACGATCTTCAGTTGTTTTTTAATCTTGGTTTAGGACAAAGTATTTCTGAGTAAGTACAATATTTAAAAATTCTTTTAAATTATTTGAAATTATACCTGATTTAACACTAGCACATACAAGACTGATTTAGTTACTAATAGGTTTAATAATTTTGATGAAACAACCATGTTTTAATAAATTATTATCTGTTATAGGGTTAAGATTAATTTATACAGCATATTTTATATTAGTTTACACAGTAATGCTTAGCTATTAGCTATCCATTATATGAAAGAGCTCTGTGAATATTAAATAGCTCTTTGTAAATATATTTTTATATAATTTTTAATAAATGTTCAGAAAGGATACTGCTAATATTTCATATAATTTCTAATTTATAGCTATTCTTGGCTAAGCCTATTAGAATAATTGAAAAAAACACAAATTAATTTGGACAACTTTTTTTAGTCTGTACAATTTTTATAATAGAATTTATCATTCTGAACTAGGATTTGTTGATATTGATTAAAGAGACACTCACATGAGACATAATATTAAGAATGAATTAAGACTATTTTTAACAGAACATCTCAATTGCTTAATATATTGATGTCTCTTACTAAAATATATAAATTAGCCAATTTAATATTTCTTTTTACAAACCATGTGCTGTAGTTATTGATTTAATAACTAGCATACTAATTTTAAAATGCTATTTATATTTCTGCTGTGCCCAAATTGTTCTTAAGCATATTTGGAATCTTAATCTCATTTTCTATATTAAATTAGATTCTTTTTAAAGACACATTCTTTTTAGGGTAAGGATTTTCTTAAATAGTTGGCCTCTCAACTCTATGAACAATAGAGGAAAACAAATTATTAATGTATTATAGCTAGAGCTTAGACTAGAAGTCAATACAAGTTAGAAGAAATAGTTGCAAACATCTTTTAATAGTTGGAACATGGAGTGTACAAAGTATTAATGTTGGAAAACTGAAGTGTAAAATCAAATGGAACATGTCAATATTGACATTCTAGGCATTAGAAAAATAATGGACTGACTTTGGCCATTTTGAATCAGATAATCATATGATGTACTATGCTGGGGATGAAAAATAGAAGAAGAATGGTGTTCCATTCATTCATAGGAAAAAAATGTCAAGAGTTATGCTGATGTATAATGTAGTGATGGGAGTGTCAGAGACAGTGCGATTGGCACAGGACAGAGCAGAGTTTAGGGCTGTTGTACAAAGGGTCGCTATGAGTCGCAAACGACTCGATGCCACATAACAACAAAAACAGCAACATAATGTAGTGAGTGATGATAGGACATTATCCATATGCATACAAAGAAGTCTTGTTAATATTAATATTATTCAAATATGTGCACCAATAGCTAAAGCTAAAGAAGAGACAAAGAGTTTTACCAAAGTTTGCAGTCTAAAGTAGACCCAGAATGCAGTCAAGGCAGAGTAATAATAATTGGTGACTAGAATGCAAAAGTTGCAAACAATGCAGAAGGAATGGTAGTCAGAAAATATTAAATTGGTGACAGAAATGAGGCAGAAAATAGAATGATCAAATTATTTATGTTCAATGATTTATTAATCATAAATACCTTTTTAAAAAAAATACCTCAAACAATGAATTTACACATGGATGGACTGCATAGGAGTCAGATTGACTGCATATGTGGAAAGAATCATTGGAGCAGCTCAGTATCAGCAGTCAAAACCAGATCAGGTGCTGACTGTGGAACAGATCACAATTTTAATTTGTGCAAGCTCAGATTAAGGCTGCATAAAATGAAAACAAGTCCGGCAAAATATGATCTTGAGTCTTTTCCACCTGAATGAAAAAAATTATCTGAATAGTGGTTTGAAACACTGAGCACCAATGATTGAAAACCAGGTAACTTGTAGATTAACATCAAAGATATCCGTCCACTAAGACAGCAATAATTATTACTAGGAAAGAGGTTGTTGATTTTGTTGTTAAGTGCCATCGAGTCACAGGCAACTTGTAATGACCCTATGAAGGAGAGTCCTCAACGCTTGGGTGCCTTTCATCCTCTCTCCAGGTTCATAGGGTTTCCGGAGGCAAGCTATTATGGAAGTGGATGCCACTCCTCCTTTCAAGTGTGTTTTTTTTTTTTAAGATTTAAAAGCATTTAATGACATAGCATATATTTCACAGATAGGGCAAAGGTTGAGAGGGACGGGTCGGACAACGGGGCACCAGGCCTGAGCGCCCCTCTTGGTCAGGCCCGGCCTCTGGAGTTCATCCCTATCAGATGTCGTTTTGATTGTGCAGTAAAATGGACGATTGTCGTTAAATCCAAGTGTGTTTTAATCCGGGAGTTTCACCCAACACTGTCTGCATTGGGTAACTAACCATTAACGCATTTGACACATCAGTGTCACAGTGTTCAGTCTCACAGCAAACACAAGTGACCATTGTATGGCAACCTGTACACCAGGGTTATATGACCTAGAGGAATGTCTGAACAAAAACAATGAAAGACAGGCCCGAGGGCTGCGGATTAAGTCACCCACCTTTGGCTTGGTTGCATCACTAGAAAAGAGGTAGAAAGAAAATAAATACAAACCTAGAATAAATGTCTGAAGAGGCTGTTGAGAAGCCAAAACAAAGAAAAAATGAAGTAAAACAAAAAACAAACAAACAAAAAGACAAACAAAAAACCACCAAAAACCTGAACAGAATAATTCAAAGGACAGTTTGGGAAGACAAAGCATTGTAAAGGAATGTGGAGATATTTAAAATTGGAAAATGAAAAGGGAAGAACTCACTTGGCATTTCTCAAGCTGAAAGAGTTGAAAACCAAATTTATACCTTGAGTTGTAATACTATGAGTTGTATATACTATGGGCAAAATCTTACATGACCCAGGAAAAAAATAGCAAAAGGAGATGGAGGAAATACACAGAATCACTGCACCAAAAAGAACTGACTAACATTGAAATATTTCAGGAGGTACCAAATGATCAAGACCAAATGGTAACAAAGGAAGAAGTTTAGGCTGTACTGAGAACATTGGCAAAAAATAACGCTGTAAAAAAAAAATGGGATACCAATTGCCATGTTTCAACTAACAGATGCAGTCCTACACAGGCTCACCAATCTTAGCTAGGAACACTGGAGAACAGCTATCTGGCCAACTGACTGGAAGAGATTTAAGTTTGTGTCCATTCCTAAGAATACTGATACAACAGAATGTGGAAATTATAGAATAATATCTTTAATATAACATGCAGGCAAAATATTGCCAAAGATTATTAACACACACACACACACACACACACACACACACACACACACACACACAAGCTAGAATAGTATGCAGAGAATTGCTAGAGGTCAAACTAGATTTAGAAGAGGTCATAGTGCCAGGGATATCATTACTGATGTCAGATGGATTCTAGCTGAAATCAAAGAATCCCAGAAGAATGTCTATTTGTGCTTTATTGACTATGCAAAGTAATTTGACTGTGTGGATCATAACAAATTATGGTTAACAATGAGAAGTATAGGAACTGCAGAACACTTAATTACATACCTGCAAAACCTATACCTAAACCAAGGGGTGAACAAAGTAAGGGAACACTAGTAAGGTTTATTTTTTTTTTAAAAGATATGCATCATGGTTGT